AAATTTTTGCACATATCTGTACAACTTGAAGGGGAAAGCGTTCTAACTGCTAAAATGCTGGTTAAAACAATGTCAAAGGGAACCGTTCTATTTGCGGAAATGCTGGTAGAAAACAATTTCAAGGGGGAAGCATTCCAACTGCTGAAATGCTTGTGTAAAAAACAACTTGAAGGGGGAAGCATTCAAACTGCTGAAAGGCCGGTAAAAAACAAGTTCAAGGGGGAAGCATTCCAATTGCTGAAATGCTGGTAGAAAAACAATTTCAAGGGAAAAACATTCTAACTGCTGAAAAGCTGGTAAAAAGCAATTTCAAGGGGGAAGCATTGTAACTGATGAAATGCTGGTAAAAAAACATTTCAAGGGGGTAAGCATTCTAACTGCTGAAATGCTGGTAAAAAGTAATTCCAACGGGGAAACATTCTAACTGCTGAAATGCTTGTGTAAAAGCAACTTCAAGGGGGAAGCATTCTAACTGATGAAATGCTGGTAAAAAACCATTTCAAGGGGGAAACATTCTAACTGATGAAGTGCTTGTGTAGAAAGCAACTTCAAGGGGGAAGCATTCAAACTGCTGAAATGCTGGGAAGCATTCTGCCTGCTGAAATGCTGGCAAAAGCAATTTCAAGGGGGAAGCGTTCTAATTGCTGAAATGTTGGTAGAAAGCAATTTCAAGGGGGACACATTCTAACTGCTGAAATGCTTGTAAAAAAAAAATCAAGGGGAAAGCATTCTAACCGCTGAAAAGCTGGTAAAAAGCCGTTTCAAGGGGGAAGCATTCTAACTTCTGAAATGCTGGTAAAAAACCTTTTCAAGGGGGGAAGCATGCTAACTGCTGCAATACTGGTAAAAAACAATTTCAAGAAAAGCATTCTAATTGCTGAAATGCTGGTAGAAAAGCCATTTCAAGGGAGAAACATTCTAACTGCTGAAATGCTTGTGTAAAAGCAACTTCAAGGAGGAAGCATTCTAACTGATGAAATGCTGGTAAAAAGCCATTTCAAGGGGGAAACATTCTAACTGATGAAATGCTTGTGTAGAAAGCAACTTCAAGGGGGAAGCATTCTAACTGCTGAAATGCTGGGAAGCATTCTACCTGCTGAAATGCTGGCAAAAGCAATTTCAAGGGGGAAGCGTTCTAATTGCTGAAATGCTGGTAGAAAGCAATTTCAAGGGGGAAGCGTTCTAATTGCTGAAATGCTGGTAGAAAGCAATTTCAAATGGGAAACATTCTAACTGCTGAAATGCTTGTGTAAAAGCAATTTCAACGGGGAAGCATTCTAGCTGCTGAAAAGCTGGTTGAAAAAAAAATCAAGGGAGAAGCATTCTAACTGATGAAATGCTGGTAAAAAAACGTTTCAGGGGGGGAAGCATTCTAACTGCTGAAAGGCTGGTAAAAAGCAATTTCAAGGGGGAAGCATTCTAACTGATGAAATAATGGTAAAAAACAATTTCAAGAAAAGCATTCTAATTGCTGAAATGCTGGTTAAAAAAAAATTTCAAGGGGGAAGCATTCTAACGGCTGAAATGCTGGGAAGCATTGGAACTGCTGAAATGCTGGCAAAAGCAACTTCAAGGGGGAAGCGTTCATTGCAGGAATGCTGGTAGAAAGCAATTTCAAGGGGGAAGCATTCTAACTGCTGAAATGCTTGTGTAAAAAACAATATGAAGGGGAGACATTCTAACTGCTGAAAGGCTGGTAAAAAGCAATTTCAAGGGGAAAGCATTCCAACTGGTGAAATGCTTGTAAAAAACAATTTCAAGGGGAAAGCATTCTAACCGCTGAAAAGCTGGTAAAAAGCCGTTTCAAGGGGGAAGCATTCTAACTTCTGAAATGCTGGTAAAAAACCTTTTCAAGGGGGGAAGCATGCTAACTGCTGAAATACTGGTAAAAAACAATTTCAAGAAAAGCATTCTAATTGCTGAAATGCTGGTAAAAAGCCATTTCAAGGGAGAAACATTCTAACTGCTGAAATGCTTGTGTAAAAGCAACTTCAAGGGGGAAGCATTCTAACCGATGAAATGCTGGTAAAAAGCCATTTCAACGGGGAAACATTCTAACTGCTGAAATGCTGGCAAAGCAATTTCAAGGGGGAAGCGTTCTAATTAATTGCTGAAATGCTGGTAGAAAGCAATTTCAAGGGGGAAGCGTTCTAACTGCATTCTAACATCTGATGATATTCATAGTGCGAAGGCATTCTAAGTGAGGGATTTGTGCAAAGGGTTCTCCAAAAACAAAAAAACTTAAAACCCGGGTGGGGAGGCATTCTAACTGAAGGATTTTTTGCCGTGCGCGGGCCGCATTCTAACTGAGGGGGAGGAATATTTGGAATTCGCGGAGGCATTCTAACTTTCATTTTAACGGTATATATATATAATATATACATACACACACACATATATATATATACACGATGATCAATAACAATATCAATAATGGTACTGGGTGAATACTCGCCCAATGGGAAGGAGGAGGTGGGAAAGGACAACAAACACTCCAAAAGTTGCAAGTTTTGATTGTCCTTCATGCGATCGAACCATTAGAAGCCAAATTTTGGGTTTCAATTTTGATCTATTTTCAACAAAGCATTTTTTGATCAAAATACCCCCCAAAAAAATCGATCACATAATGATTTGGTAGGAGATGTTTCTTTGGGTCATAAATGAAGAGCGAAAACTCGCTCAATGGGAAGGGTGAAACCGCACAGGACGGAAAAAACGCCAAAACTTTGGCCAAAAGTTGCGAGTCTTGAGTGTTTGTCATGCGATCGAACCGTTAGAAGCCAAATTTTGGGTTCCAATTTTGATCTATCAAAGCATTTTTTGATTTTTTTGATCAAGATACCAACAAAAATGTTTCGAGCACTCAATGTTTTGGTTCGGAGATATTTTTTGGGCCATAAATGAAGAGCATATGAAGAGCGGAAACTGGCTCAATGGGAAGGGGGAAGCCGGACAGGACAGAAAACACACAAAACTTTGGCCAAATGTTGCGAGTCGTTGGGCCATCCGAAGCCAAATTTTTGGCCCCAGTGATCGCAAATTCAGCAGCTGCCATGGCGGACAGCCACCCTGGACCCGCACCTGCATGCGAGTCTCATCAGCAACAAATCGAAATAAGAAAATATATAAACCCACAACATCCCTGGACTAGGACCCTAAATACATCTTCCTGCTAAGGAGAAATGTGGGAGCGAATCGCATCCGCCAACTTGGGATCAGAATCTACTCCTGTGGCGCTCAAAATGCTCCGCAGTCTCTGTGCATCCAGTGACTGGCAAGGAGAGAAAGTCCGCTCATGAGAGTTTTAAGTTTCTCGCCTTTGCATCATCACAGACGATTGCTTTGAGGTTCCTTTTCATTCGAATTAGTTGCGGATTTTTCCCCTGCAAACTAAGTCCTGGCAAACCAGCTGATTGGACTTGCGTGCTGGTGATTCCTGCAGTGGCCGTCCTGTCCCCAGATGTCCTCAGCCCATTCTGTCTCCCAAATCTTGGGGCACGACCCCATTCCACAGGGTCTTCAACAGATTTCCCATGACCACATATGGCTTTGCGCTAAGAAAAAGTAGAGGGATTTTGGATTAGACCCCGGAAGTTGGAATAAGGACTTTTTTCCAATCAATTTTCAGGGCAAGGACCCATTCCACAGGGTCTTCAACAGATTCTCCTGGCCTCATTTTGATTTGGTGCTAAAGAACCCCAAAGGGATTTTGGATTAGACCCTGGAATTTGGAATGAAACCGTTTTCTTTGAATCATATTTTCAGGCCGGGGACCCATTCCACAGGGTTTTCAAGAGATTCTCATGGCATCATTTTATATCATTTTATGATTTGGTGCTACCGAACCCTAAAAAAATTTTGAATTGGGCCCTGGAAGTTGGAATGAAACCGTTTTCTTTGAATCATATTTTCAGGGCAGGGACCCATTCCACAGGGTCTTCAACAGATTCTCATGGCCTCATTTTGATTTGGTGCTGAAGCACCCCAAAGGGATTTTGGATTAGACCCCGGAAGTTGGAATGAAACCGTTTTCTTTGAATCATATTTTCAGGGCAGGGACCCATTCCACAGGGTCTTCAACAGATTCTAATGGCCTCATTTGGATTTGGCGCTAAAGAACCCCAGAGGGATTTTGGATTAGACCCTGGAAGTTGGAATGAAACCGTTTTCTTTGAATCATATTTTCAGAGCAGGGACCCATTCCACAGGGTCTTCAACAGATTCTCATGGCCTCATTTTGACTTGGTGCTGAAGAACCCCAAAGGGATTTTGGATTAGACCCTGGAAGTTGGAATGAAACCGTTTTCTTTGAATCATATTTTCAGGGCAGGGACCCATTCCACAGGGTTTTCAACAGATTCTCATGGCATCATTTTATATCATTTTATATCATTTTATGATTTGGTGCTACCGAACCCTAGAAAGATTTTGAATTGGGCCCTGGAAGTTGGAATGAAACTGTTTTCTTTGAATCATATTTTCAGGGCAGGGACCCATTCCACAGGGTCTTCAACAGATTCTCATGGCCTCATTTTGATTTGGTGCTGAAGAACCCCAAAGGGATTTTGGATTAGACCCTGGAAGTTGGAATGAAACCATTTTCTTTGAATCATATTTTCAGGGCAGGGACCCATTCCACAGGGTCTTCAACAGATTCTCATTGCCTGACTTTGATTTGGCGCTAAAGAACCCCAGAGGGATTTTGGATAAGACCCTGGAAGTTGGGAGTGAGAGAGAATTTTTTTCCAAACCTCATTTGTTTTTGTATTTTGCGCCCAGGCCCGGCAAGCGTGGTCCCAATCTCTTCGCAGCAAACGAGATCAACTGATACAGCTGGCGCAGGCTGGTCAAACTTCTTGTGGATAGTTTCACATCCCCGATGCCGATACATGAAAGTCTTCAGAGCAAAGTGGGATGGGAAAGCCTTGTCTTATACATCCCTTGTGCCGCAGCATTTGTTCTATCCAGCTTGGTCCAGCAAATTCTGATAGAAGTTGGACATGGCGAAAGAGAAGAAAGGGCGTAATTCCAAGGACAAGAAGACCTTGAAGAAGAAGCCCTTGGACGATGACACAGCTTGCACTGGATCGGAGGACCAGTGGTATGATGCCACTTCGGATTCGCAGGGCCTCAACGATTACTGCGAGGCTTGGGCTGGCACCAGGTGGCTGGACATGCTTGATGTCTTCAGTTTCCACGAGGGAATGAAGCAGCATGCTGGCTCTCGCACGGTTGTCTCCCTGGACATCCGCCTCAATCCAGTTCACGACCTGACTACAAAGCGAGGAATGATGCTTCTGTTGAGCCTACTGATGGCCCTCAAACATGGGGCGCTGCTAGCCCTGGCTCCTCCATGCAGCCTTTTCATATGGCTATCTTGCAGTATCCATTTGAGGCATGCCCTTGGCCCCTATGGAAATTTACGAAACCTAAAAGTGCGCATGGCGAACAGAATCGTTCTCAACACAGCACCCAGGCTTGCACATATGTTTCGTTTTTGTTTGTAAAAGTGCAAAGGGGAAAGGGTCAATTTGGATCAATTTGGATCAATGAAACCAGGTCGCAGCTATTCAATGTGTCATGGAGTTCCGCTTTTTCCGCCTGCTGGTCGAACAACCAAAGGGGTCGGCTATGTTTTCCCTACCTGAGATGGAGAAGTTGATTGCATCCAAGCAGATGAAGCGCCACCTGACGTACATGGGGTACTGGGCAACTTGGCAGGATAGTCCAGGCATATTGTCGAGATGTAATGCCGAGCTGCACTATATTAATCTATATTAAGTTCTAAAAGAAATGCAATTAAAGCTAAATAAACCCAGATGTTTCATTTTTTTTAATGTCGGAAACAGCCCAGGGTGGCCCCATCATGAAGCCCACTTGGATCATGACGGACTTGAACGGTGGTGAATTGGCCGTGGTCATGACAAAGACCCTCAAGAAGAAGATCGCTCATAAGCTAGAGGACAAGAGCAAATACTTTCGCATCTCCAAGATTGCCAACAGCCAAAAAGTGTCTGTTTCAGGCACCAAAAATCTAGGATTGACTGCAAAGTGGCCTGAGCGCTTTTGCGCCAAAGTTGTTGAAATTTGGGAGCGGGACTTTCAGGAATGAAATCATTCCTGAAACCATTTGTGTCGTGTGCACCAACTCAAAAGCTGGTTCTTTACTTTGCCTGAAGCCAGATCCGGACCCAGATCCTGCGAGAAATCCAGAAAATGCCCACAGGGAGTCACAGCAAGACATGAAGGGAAAGACGATGATGCTGATGATATATGATGATATCTGATGATGACGGCAATGATGTGAATGATGATGGTTCTTGACGATACATGATGACATTGCTAGTCGATTCCATGTTCCTTTGCTATCCTTTGATGCTAGGCAGAGGCACCGGCAGCGGATACTGTTGCAGGCCGCTGCCAAATGAGTTTGTTTGGGAAATGAGAATGAATTAGAATGAATTAGAGTGAATTAGATGGATGAGTTGGAGGTTCGAAACTTTGTGGTCCGATCTTGAACAGCGGGGCTCCAGATGCGGCCAGGGAACAGTGCACCTAGCGGTGCCACTGAGGGCAGCGACCTCAATGCTGATTCTGCGTGGCTCTCGATTTGAATCCTTTTTCGGTACGCAGCAATTTTATATAATTTTATGCAATTTTTGGGTTCCAGGTGCTCATCAAAATTCTTCAGCCGTCCAAAACATTCATAAAGCAACATAGACCACATGAACCTTTCTGTGTTTGGAGTTTGGCTTCAACAGTACCAGGGACGCACCACCCAGGGTCTGCAAAAGACTCCTCCTGATCTCATAGTCTTTGGCGATTAAAAAACCAGAGGGATTTTGGATTAGACCAATTAGACCCTGAGAGTTGGAACAAGCATCTTTTTAAAACATATGTTTTTCCAAGCGGGGGGGGGGGCATTCCACAGAGTCTTCAACAGATTTCTCATGACCTCATATTGCTTGTGATGGCTGCTCATCACCGATCCCAGGAGCACTTGCGATGGTCGCTTCATGAGGGTCTGAAACAGTTTTCCCCAAGGCAAAAGGTTTTCAGGTGTCGAGAAGGTTCCATGGATTTGTTGTTGGACCCCTTGGCAGTTCTGAAACATCCCGCCCAACCAGGAGAGACGCGGCATTCAGGAACTTCGATTCAGGAGACTTTGGGCAGATTCAGGGGAATCATGTGGATTCATTGGGTTGATCTAACATGTCTTCTCAAAGGATCTGAAAGGTAAGAATTGGAACTGATTGATGAGCCTGGCACTGGATAGGTCGCTTCTTGAGGGTCTGAAACAGTTTTCCCCAAGGCAAAAGGTTTTCAGGTGTCGAGAAGGTTCCATGGATTTGTTGTTGGACCCCCTTGCAGTTCAGAAACCCTGCATCCAGGAAAGAAGTGCGGCATTCAGGAGATTCCTGGGCAGATTCAGGGGGATCAGTTGGTTTCATTTGGGTTGGCTTAACATGTTTCTCAAAGGATCTGAAAGGTTAAAAAGTTTGGACCTGGTTGATGAGCCTGGCACTGGATAGGTCGCTTCTTGAGGGTCTGAAGGAGTTTTCCCCAAGGCAAAAGGTTTTCAGGTGTCGAGAAGGTTCCATGGATTTGTTGTTGGACCCCCTTGCAGTTCAGAAACCCTGCATCCAGGAGAGAAGTGCGGCATTCAGGAACTTCGATTCAGGAGACTTTGGGCAGATTCAGGGGAATCATTGGATTCATTGGGTTGATCTAACATGTCTTCTCAAAGGATCTGAAAGGTAAGAATTGGAACTGATTGATGAGCCTGGCACTGGATAGGTCGCTTCTTGAGGGTCTGAAGGAGTTTTCCCCAAGGCAAAAGGTTTTCAGGTGTCGAGAAGGTTCCATGGATTTGTTGTTGGACCCCCTTGCAGTTCAGAAACCCTGCATCCAGGAGAGAAGTGCGGCATTCAGGAACTTCGATTCAGGAGACTTTGGGCAGATTCAGGGGAATCATGTGGATTCATTGGGTTGATCTAACATGTCTTCTCAAAGGATCTGAAAGGTAAGAATTGGAACTGATTGATGAGCCTGGCACTGGATAGGTCGCTTCTTGAGGTCTGAAACAGTTTTCCCCAAGGCAAAAGGTTTTCAGGTGTCGAGAAGGTTCCATGGATTTGTTGTTGGACCCCCTTGCAGTTCAGAAACCCTGCATCCAGGAGAGAAGTGCGGCATTCAGGAACTTCGATTCAGGAGACTTTGGGCAGATTCAGGGGAATCATTTGGATTCATTGGGTTGATCTAACATGTCTTCTCAAATGATCTCAAAGGTAAGAATGGGAACTGATTGATGAGCCTGGCACTGGATAGGTCGCTTCTTGAGGGTCTGAAACAGTTTTCCCCAAGGCAAAAGGTTTTCAGGTGTCGAGAAGGTTCCATGGATTTGTTGTTGGACCCCCTGGCAGTTCAGAAACCCTGCGTCCAGGAGAGAAGTGCGGCATTCAGGAGATTTCTGGGCAGATTCAGGGGATTTGGAGGGATGTAGTGAATCACTGCGACTTGCACTGGACAGATTGTTTCTCTGCTTCTGAGGCAGTTTTAATCAAGGAACATGATTTGGTGCTTGACCACCACCACCGGCCGAAGACAAACACCAGGCACAACAATATATCACAACATTCCACAGTTTTACCGAACATGTATGAACATGTAGGATCTTCATGGATCTTTATGGATCTTCACGGATCTTCCAGCCATGCCCATTTGCCAGCTGCCTCCAAGCAAGATGCTGAAAGACCCTTCAAAGGCACATGCATTGCCACAACCTGTTGAGGAAGGATTCCCAATTACACATTGATTGATTACACGGCATTAATTATTTTCATTTTTTTTAATGTTTCAATATTGGATGTAGATGAGTGCTAGTTGTAGGCTCTCTCTCTCTCTCTCTTGGCTCACAGGTGAAGCACCCGTTCCAAGCCGTGCTGGCATTCCATGCAGACGGATCCAGGGTGTTGCTCTGTGAGAAATCAACCAGTCCCAAAAAGCTTCAATACTTTGAGGACTATCGTGACGCTGAAGCAGCCTATGCTGACAGCGTGGTGAAGGCAGTGGAAGGGAAGCATCAGGACCATCATGATAAGGACTGGAAAAGGTTTCTGTGCAACAAGGGTAGCATATTTGAACATTTTCGGTGAATGGAAAACACATGATCCATATTGAAAAGTAGTACGTGAGCAGGTAAGATACCCCCAGTAGATCCTACTGGTGTGTAATTTCTATTAATTTCTGTTTAGTATGTTCCTAGGTAGTTTCTTGAACTTCGGTATTGAAACATGCTGGACAAATTCGTTGCTCAGGTTCATTAAGATGTTCATGAAGAGTCGTGGATGGACGTTGACACGATGGGCACGAAGTTACTCAGACGTCATGATGCTGGTTGACTGCTGCTGATCCACCAAGCGTATCCAAGCGTGCAGAGTGATGCTGGAAAAAGAATGGAAACATGGAAAGGGAACTGCTGTTTTTTGGTGGGAGGGGTATCTTTTCAGGGGCCTGGCCCATTCCACAGTGAATTCCACTCGACCATTTCCATATGTTGATTGTATCCAAACGGGATTTCGGATGGGACCCTGGGTCTTCAATTGGCCATCCGTGTCCATGCACCGTCATGCCCAGGAGCAAGAGGGGGCCAGGCAGCAAACGCATCCATCAGGACTAGTCGGCTTGGGCTTGGGGCAGTTGAATGCAGTTGATTGATGTTGATTGTACTATAGTTATACCATGTTGTATTTAGATGTATTTAGTCCTTATATGTCTTTACATGTCTTTACACATTTGTCTGCAGAAGCCCCATAGCAGCACTTGGAAACACATTGCGTTTGTATGCATGTGTATGTATTTGGTTCAAACAGAGGAAAGCTCAGCCCAGTTGTTGATGTGTTTTTCAGTGTTTGGGATATGTCAGATTTCTTCTTTGTGCTGATGGTCGCTTTTGTCCTTGGGGCTGCTACGGCACTTTGTGTGGCATCATGCTGGCGTACATTGACCCCTGCCCGTTATGGAGACCATTCTCATTGTGATCACGATGGGGGCATGCAACTTCCCGAGCTCGTGTATGTGACCAGAGCCGGTGGAAGCTACCACTTGACTGGAGGGTGCCCAGCTGTGGCAACCAACACAAGTCTTATGGCAATGAAATTATGCCAGCATTGTTTAAAGAGCCATGGAAACCGAAGTCGCAAAGCCAAAGATTGCTGATAAATCTGCATCCTGTCATTGTTGGATGTTGTTGGCCCAATTCCAAGAAATTGCTGTTGCTTTCCACATACGACGAGAGTTTGCCAAGCGCACAAGAAAAGGTGCTGTCCTTCTTGATCTCCTGCAAAAAAAATATCAAAAAATCAGATCAGGTCGCTTCTTGAGGGTCTGAAACAGTTTTCCCCAAGGCAAAAGGTTTTCAGGTGCCGAGAAGGTTCCATGGATTTGTTGTTGGACCCCCTAGCAGTTCTGAAACATCGCGCCCAACCAGGAGAGACGCGCGGCATTCAGGAACTTCGATTCAGGAGACTTTGGGCAGATTCAGGGGAATCATTTGGATTCATTGGGTTGATCTAACATGTCTTCTCAAATGATCTGAAAGGTTAAAAAGTTTGGAACTGATTGATGAGCCTGGCACTGGATAGGTCGCTTCTTGAGGGTCTGAAACAGTTTTCCCCAAGGCAAAAGGTTTTCAGGTGTCGAGAAGGTTCCATGGATTTGTTGTTGGACCCCCTTGCAGTTCAGAAACCCTGCATCCAGGAGAGAAGTGCGGCATTCAGGAACTTCGATTCAGGAGACTTTGGGCAGATTCAGGGGAATCATTTGGATTCATTGGGTTGATCTAACATGTCTTCTCAAAGGATCTGAAAGGTAAGAATTGGAACTGATTGATGAGCCTGGCACTGGATAGGTCGCTTCTTGAGGGTCTGAAACAGTTTTCCCCAAGGCAAAAGGTTTTCAGGTGTCGAGAAGGTTCCATGGAGTTGTTGTTGGACCCCCTGGCAGTTCAGAAACCCTGCATCCAGGAGAGAAGTGCGGCATTCAGGAGATATCTGGGCAGATCCAGGGGAATTCATTTGGATTCATTGGGTAGGCTTAACATGTTTCTCAAAG